TTTCCTTCTTGGGGACAGTGTTTGAGCGTGCATTTTAAGGTTCCACTCACATCTCCATTTTTAAGTTGCTGTCTCCAGTATGAAGACAATGGGAATCTCAAAAGGGCTAGAAACCTCTGGTACTGCTCATCTCTGACAAGTCAGCAAGTATCGGGTAAGTCATATGGGCTTTTATCAGAGCCTCTAGTTGTAGTATTACTATCCAAATCGTTAATATGTGTTGGAGCTGTTTTGGGTGAAAAAGTTATAAATATTTAATAACTTTTGACACAGCCATTTGTTTACTAAACCATTTCAAGTAGTTGTAACTCTGCATATACTGGCTGTTGTTCATCAGTGGTTTAAAGGTATTTTTCAGATATTTCTTATTTAGAACAAAGACAAACTCCCAAGAGCAAGAGGTGTTTTATTCCTGATATGATGCATAGTGTCAGTGCAGACCACGTGAGCAAAAGGTTTAAGATTAGTCTTGAGCTATCAAAATTAGATATGGCAAGTCCAATTTAGTTTTAGCTACGTTTAATTCTTTAAATTTGCCTTTCAGACCTTGCATATTAATTTAGGACCTGATCCTCTGATGAGCTCCACAGAGATGATTCCCCACATACACAAGCAGCTTCACTGGATTCATGATCCATTCGTAAGTTAGTGTGTCAAGATTCATACCAGGGACTCTAGCTTGTTTGGTAAAATATGTGTGGGTTATGGAAGCCGGCTGCACTTCATTAAGGCTAGATGTATAAGTAGTTTTAAAAAGGATTATTAAATGATTCTTTGATAAATGGTTAACTTATTGGGAACATTATGTGTATGTCTTACAACTGCCTACATCTTAGTTAATGTGCTTAAACCAAATGATTTAACAGATTATACCATATTTGTACTGTGCTTAAAACATCAATTAATTATTTATAAATATTATGTATAAATGGAGCGTTAGCACCCAGATTAATTTATCATTGTACTTTTTGTATTTGAAGTGGAAAAACATTGCTGTTGGTAAGTGGAAATTTATTTGTTTAAAATTGTTCAAACCAATCACTTCTCTACAGTATGTCTGTTTTTTTTCTTAACTTGCCTTTTATAAAAGTTGACATACACCTAACATACAACAGGCCAGTGGTGCCCCTAGCATCACAATAGATTGCCATCTATAACCATTACTCTTATAAGAAGCTTGAATTTATTTTTATATTGGCATGCTGATCCATTGCATAAATTTACAAATTACACAGAAAAATAGTCTTCAGGTTTCATTTGAGAATTCCCAATAGATCACAGGTGCTAAAATATTAATTTCTTTCTTGTATTTTCGCTTTGGTGATATTTTTTGGCTCTTTTTGGTTCACATGTTGTTTCACTTGGGCAGCCTGAAAAAAATGTATATTGTAAAGCAGCCTTCTTTCCTCTATTTTCCAGTTTTGAAAATGGATAGTTTACATAGCCCTAATTTCATCCTGTGTGTAGGTACACGGAATTGGAGCCAGGATGAATTTGACCGTTTAGAGCTTCTACAATTAAATCCATTCCTTAATTCTGCTGTAGTCATTAAAAATTAGTTTCACAACTCATCTGAGGGAATTATTATGTATGTTTATTATTTCACCTATTTATAATTTGGATTATCACCTTTTTAATTAAGAAAAGGCCATGAAAATAAACAATAACCAACCCTTAAACTGGCCTACAGAAATAATTTTTGATATTGTGCATACTCCCCTTTTGTCTTCAAAGTAGAAGATAAACAGTATTTCCATTGTTGTATATAATCATGCATGGAAGCCAATATATAACTAAGACACAAGCAAGCCATGTTGATTCCTGTTACATTATAACATTAACATAGGAAAAATTAATGTTTGCTGAAGGCTAATGAATAAACATGTTGCCTTCCAAAGATTAGCTGCTATTGTTTTTATAAGTATAACAATTTTATAGAGGCTTTAACAAGAATAAAGCTCTGTACAAACATTGACTTCTTTACCTCACAGAGTGGTGTTTTATCACAAACCAATAGAAAGACAAAAGTTTTGTATTAGCCTAAGTCTTATTAAAAGCTTCACAAATAATTCCTGATTATCAAACAGAACTGTAATAAATGTTAAAGTTTCAGATCCTCAACTGGTGTAAATTGCTATAGCTTCAGTGAAATCATTGGAGCTTCTTATGATCCATCTGCTGAGGATGTAACCCTAAGAATGAATTGTGTGAAATTCTTAGGATGAAATTCAGCAGGGCTAGAGTTTCAGTTAGGGCTGTATTTTGACAGGTATTTAGGCATCCAATTCTATCTACAATAAACAATCTGACACTGTCTTTCAAAAGCATTGCTCACAGTTACAATAATTATGTTTTGTATAATACTGTACAGAACTATTTTAATCAGTATTGTTTTGTGGGAGCCAATAACAGGCTTCATGCACTTTTTAAAGGAGTAAAGTGAGACCATAATACCTAGCATGCTTTTGTAAGTCATTTCCCTGATTTGGGCAGCAGAACTGGATGTAGTTGCTAGCAACCAGGAATTAAAAGATTTTTAAATACTAAAAGCATCCAAAAAGCATGAGACTATTATTTACATATTCACAGTTAACACCTGGCTTCTTTTTTTTTTTTTTTAACTAAATATCAAATACAGTATAAAAAAGTAGCACCATTAGTAACCATCCAGGTTTGACAGAAACGATAGTAATATTTTCTAGAAAGTTTGATAAATTACAGCACCAGTAATTTTATTATATATGAGCACTTAAAAAATTGTAGTATTTGTGTGAGAAGGATTTTCTTTGGTTTATTTTATGATGTCAATTTTTTTTTAAGTACTTTATCCTTAAAATGACTGCAGTCTTGCTTAGTTTAAATGGAGAATAATAGGGAAAGTTAGATACAATCATACTGACTAGGAGGCGAGCCAGGGTCTTATGAGTTTCTGCTTGAAGAAACAAAAACTAAGAACCAAGAAACTAACTTATATTAGCATTAAGACCTCCTCTGTCCCTTCCAATTAGTATTTGAAAACTGTTTTCTTTATAGTGAAGATCAATGGTGTGGTTTGTGGTGCCAAAAAAACCTGAGGCTGAAAAAAGCAGGGTGGCGCATGTGGCAGCAGTGTGCGCCACCCCCAAACTGGAGCCTGGCTGGCCAGAGCTACACTCCACCTGCTGGCCAGGCTCCATGTGCTGGATCGCAGCCACTCACGCCCCGGGAGGCCCCCAGGTAAGGCTGCTGGGGCCAACCCAGGTGCTGATCCCAGCCTCTGCTACTCCACCCAGGGCAACCTGCTGTACAGTAAAGCGCACATGCACAGGCATTCCCGGGGGACAAGGAGCAGTGGTACAACTCTGTGTCATTGCTGTTTGTCCCTGGGGAAACGCACATGCGTGCTCATCTGGTTGTGCCCTAAGGTGCCACCCTTTGCTAACTTCTGCCTGACTTCAGACTAAAACAGCTACGCACCTTTCTACTCAGAGGAAATACAGAGTTGATCTAGTGCAATGTCGTATGTTGTGCTTTTTGTAATAGTGTTGAAAATGTGATTATATCTATGCTAGCAGTGAAGCTCTCCTCAAAATAGTTTTGGATAGATGGAGGGAGAAGCTAGGAAGGTGTTTGTGTTTCTGATTAAGAAAGTGGTTGTGTGATGATAATGATTAATGTAAGCTGGACCTGCATGTGGAGTAATATGCAGTTGCTGTGCAAAGGATGATTCACCACCTGGTAATTTGAGAGCACCATAGCCGAGTATAAAATACTCCTACGTGTTGCAAAATAAGGCTGTACTAAATGAGCTCCAAATCTGAACGTGAAAAGCCAACCCCATCGTCAGGACTCTTTCACACAAATTCTTTGCTTTCAAATGAAAACTGATGAACTGAGTAGCTTTTCACCATACAGTCACCAAGTATGAAGATTTTTTTCATATTTTAAGATACCTTGGGTTTGTGTACTAAAGTACATATTTTAATACTGCAACAGGATTCTGAGTATTTCAGTTTAAAAAGAGAAACTATCAATAACATTTTAGCTGTCAGATATGTAACTGTAGTAAATAAGTAAAATACAGTTGATAAGCAGAGCAGTGAGGCAGTATAAATGAATATAATGTTCTGTTTTTAAAAACTGTTGATTCTTTATAAGCATAGTTCCTAACTTTTTTTTTCAGTATGTTATGTATTATCAGTGTGACTGAATCACTATACAACAGCGTAAGATGGCCCTACCTTATACAGTATGGATTGAATATAATTACCAAAGCCTCAAAAATGCAATTATATGGGAAGGCCTGATACCTGCATTAATCTGGATGAACTGTGTTGTGTTTGAGAAAATGAGGTTAAAAATACAGTTTTATGATATACAGTACTTCTTCAGTAAGAGAACTTGTCCAAAACCATTATAGCCTCTATAAGTATAGATTTTCCTGACAATTTTTCAAACTGCAGTATGAGGCCTCTTAAAATTACAGTACAACAGGTAATGTCACGAGTTGTTTTGGTCAAACAGACACACTATACCTTTGTGTGTAGATATCAGGCATTTCATTGCATTTCAGAAAAAGTGGCTCACCCTGATGTAATTGTTAAGTTTGTTGCTCTAAACCATTGAGATCATTAGAGTTGTTTATGCATTGATTTATCCATGAGTATCAGTCCTCCATAAAGTATAGATCAAAGCTAAACATTCTACATAGGACCTACAAAGGAGAATGATTCAAGTTCACTAAAATATTACAAAAAGGTTTCCTTCCTAGGAAAACTCAGCTATGGCAAAAATATCTACTACAGTGCACTGCACTGTAATAAATATTCAACATAAATTAATAATTTACAAGTACCTGAGCAAGTACACAGAGCACCATAGCACAGCACAGCACCAAAGGCAGTAGCTCAGAGTTCTTAAAATAATGGTGTTTTAAACATTAAAAATTCTATGTATCGTTACAAAAATGAACTCCGTTTGGAGTAAAGATAGTGCAAACTTCTGTCTTCACTTTTTAAGGTGTCGGATTTTGTCGTCATTTCACATAGGCACTGGATCTGGGCATTTGTGGTGGATGTTTAGGAGCAGGTCTGTTTTAAAAGAAGACAAAACATAAAACAAAACAAATGATGTTTAACTCTTGGTTTTTAATTTTGGCATCATAATGAGGATACAGATGTATGACTTTCAGC